CATGGACTGTGTTCCTACTTCAGTGAAAATTTCAATCAACACCTAGTGCAGAACTAAGTTTAGGCTTAACTGTAAACAATTAGTCATAATGAAGTAGATTTCCTGATGAATACTTATTAAATAATTTCATTGCCTATATCCCGAGGAGACGTAAAAATACAAGTGTCGGTGTGCACCACATGTACTTTGTTCCATATTGTCAAATCAAACTCTGGTTCAGGACAACACTTCAGCCTGTTGTTAACCTCATTAACCTCAGACATCAAATACAATAGACTTGCACACATGTCTGAACTTAAGCTTAAGTATCATTCAGCATAGAAATGTTTTACTGAACTAAGAGTTAAACTGAGGCATGCTCTAGTTCAACCACAGAGCACTTCTTGCTGAAGTAAATTTAGGTCCGTGCAAGAGACTAAAATATTTGGTGTCACAATGCTACTCCTGGGTTTGAATACCTGTGAACCTAATTCTCAATGTTTTCTGATTTAACTGTCCCTCCCAGCATGTTAATAGATATTATAGTAATACTGAACAACATAAACTAATTAGTATGATTTTTAAAAGCTTTACATGTGTTAAAAAACATATCACAACAACAATCCTAGTAATTTTGAAGGTCTACTAAGACCAACAGTTTAAGCAACCAGCAAGTCTTTGGGGTTTTGTGATTTTTTTTTTTTTCATTTTGTGTGTGATTTTCTTCCTTTCTGCAACACATCTTGACTGTAGAGAGAAAGGAATTCAAGAATCATGCAGCAGACCATTAGTAAACTTGTCAGGTCTGCTGACACAAAATCCACAGGTCCACTGAAATAACAGGTATTAAGGAGTTTATGATGACTCACATATATCTGCCACATTCAGGGGGGTGGATGCTCTTCATCCACTCTGGTAGAAAGACACATCCATATAAAATCTGGGCTTACCTCACAATTTACTGTCACACTTTCCACTCTGCAGCTGACTTCTGATAACTCTGCTTGCAGAGAGATGAAGTCGGTGGCAGTAATGATCCAGAAGCCTTCCAGATCACATGGGCAACGTTTCCACAGTCAAAGACTCTCAGAGAAAGAGAGATCAGTGCTCTGTTAAATTAAGGACTTAAAACAGGAAAATGACCAGGGAAGTCACAAGCCAAAAGGATGGCAACTGTTTTTGTAAAACTCCTAACTGGGTCACCAGACTCAATGACCAAGTGACCAGAAGTTCTTTACTGGATATTAACTTACCAATTGTTTCTCCATGCGCATTTAATGCTTTTTGCAGCCCACGAATCGTTTTCTCAGAAAGAACTCTTATGAGCCTTTAGCACTTGGTCAGAGTTGGAGGTCTGGCTGTATAAAAGTGCCCTCGCAGTGTTGTACATTTGTTCCCGCTCCCTGACATCTCTGGATTAGGCAGTTCAGTGCAGCTGCTCAAGCTCACAACTGTCTCACTTGCTCAGAGAGCTTCTTCACTGAAGTTTGAGCAGCACTGATATCACTGCCAGAGTATGTCACTAACATCTTGGAAGCAGAGGAGGAAAGAAGACAGACTTGAAATGCCAAGACGAAAAAAATGACATGAATATTCTTGTCACCTTTTGGCAATAGACTACAGGAGTAGTCTTACAGGTCCCTTGATTTGGTACATCCATAAGTTACACCAGTACGTGTGATGTCTTGGAGTCAAACTCCTAGTTAAATAGTGATAATTAGGTCAGAGAATAGAACTCTGTAGGTACTTCAGCAAGTCAAAATTTTACCCATTTTGCACACACTATACAAAATACTGAACTTTTAAGTTGTGGGGATTTTTGTTTTATTTTCAGACTCAAGTTTTCAAATATTTGACAAGTTCCTAAACCTGCTTGTAAAAATCCCCAAGTCATGTGCTAGTCGGATAAAAATCTGTTCACTGTAAAAAGGGAAGGGGGAAGGGTGGGGAAGGAAAGGTTTGTTGATAAGTTTGCTACACTATTTAAATGTTTAACCACAGCCTGGAGCTCAAATCAGCATTCATGTGAAGTTCCTATTTATTAGAGTATATGAAAAGTATTCAGCAATAGTGTATCTTGTTTTTGAAGGAGATGTGCCCTAGTAGATAAGGTGTAAGACTAGATCCATTTCTTAGGAATATGAAAAATGAGTGATAAACATTGTCAGAAACTATGCTTTGTCCCATTTAAAGTTTCTTGAGAACATACTCCTGTTCAAAATAAGCAATAAAATCAGCAGAGGGAAAACCGACGAGGGAGAAACCACAAAGGCATTCATCATGCTGAATCTAGGCCCACATCAACTTGTCTAAATCTATATAAAGAAAAAGGCCTGCAAGTGGCTCTGAAAGTGATGGGAACCCATGCTTCAAACACATGTCTTGAAAGAATGTCGGAAACCTCGTTCCTCTTTTGGCTGCGGTTACAGATGCTTTCTCTGGACTGCGGGCTCACCAGTTTCACTTGTCTGGAGTACTCAAAAATATATTTTCCCCTGGAACACAGTCTGCATATGCTTACAATAAAACATTAACCAAATCAAACAACTTCCACTGCAGGATAAATACTTTCAAGTAAGTCTGTTAGAGACACTCATAGTAAATTGCTAATAATTAGGTTTTCCAATCTACTTAGGTTGTACTAATGAACACAATCACTCCTAACATATTTATAAGCAGGATAAATCCTGCCTCTCTCTTTATACCTGTGAAAGGCTCAAGGTAAAATGAATATATTCTTCTGCAGGAACACATGGGAGCCTCTTCAGAACAGGTGGATGATCCTGCTGGTTTTCCATGTCTCTGAACTCTGCCTGTGCTCACTGCTGGACAGCTGCCCTGGTGCCGGGGCTGCAGGGGAGCAAAGTCTGTAGCCTTCTGGCCACAAAATATGTTAAGTTACATAACATGGAAAGTCTCAGCTCTGCAAAGCCAATGAAACCACATTTTCCTATAAATGTGACTTCCTCTTTTTGCACATTACCCACTTGTAATGGCTTGTTGAAAATGACACGATAGTATCTCTTAGAGATGGGAACTTCTCTTCTTGTGCTTGAGAACACAACCCAACACCGAGAGGTCCCCTGATGGGACATTTCAGGGCATTACTGGAAGGGCAGCAGCCATACCAATACCTCTCAGCACCCTCTTGCTAAGTCAAAATACAGAAGTATGAATTAGAATTTTGTCTATACCACAATTAAAAAACCCCCAAAACTGTTACCTTCAGCAATTTGAAGTTGGTTACTGGAAAACCCCTAGACACAGCAGAGCAAAGCTCCTGGTAATTTGCTCCACCGAGTCCTGAATAGTGCTGAAATGCAACTCAATTATTTTTAGAAATTATCTCCCCTATTTTTGTGTAATTTTCTTAACAGCTCTGAATACCTAAAGAAGTACTGCAGCAGATCACAAGGCACAGATCTGAGAAACCTGCATGCATTGCATAAAACATATGACTGCACAACTCATTAAGTCTAATTTATGGCATATGTAATTAAGCACCTTTGAATTGAACCTAGGTCTCTAGAGATAATACAACTTATATAGGGCTTTTCATCTTCAAAGTGCTTTACAAACATTAACTAATTAACAACATAATATGACATGAAAGGCCAAAGTACTTACTCATAGTGCTACATAACCTCTGTATAATTCAGATTTTGATGATTTTCAATGGAAGAACCAATCTGGGACCATAGAAAGGATTTACTAGTGGTTCCCTTCATAATCAGAATGCATGACTTTGCACACATTGTATCTCTGAATTCCCAGAGTCCTTCCCTTCTCTGCTATTTATTGCTGAGTCAGAAGAAACAGCTCCCAGATGCGAAGGAAAATATAGAAAAGGACAGTTCACAGCAGCTTACAAGGGTGTTTGAGTTGTCAGGGCTTTGGAAGTAGAATAACGAGGCCTAATGCAGGAAGGAGCTCCTGGAGAATTCACTGCACAAGATTTCTGGTACCACCTGAGTCCATGTCCTTCCCAAGGTAAATCTAATAATTATAGCACAAAGTCTCTAGAGACTGGCTAAAAGATCAGGGAGAAAACCTACAGCTCAGACACATTTTCCTGTAAAACCTACAATGTTATTTCACTTAATTCCTGCTCTTCTGAAAAGTTTGAACTATTTGGCCACTGTGTTTGTTAGTTTTCTGAGGGTTTTTCTATTGTTTGGTCTAATTTACACACAGGTCTCTTGAGACAGAGTATCTTGAGACAGCCTTATTATCTGAATGAATGTTTTCTTGGTGATAGCAATGTTGCAGATGTTATATCAGGTTACTTGAAGCCCTACTGAACGTCACTAATGCAGAAAGATGATGGATAAAATAAAGGGGGAGCAATTAATACTGATAGTTTTAGTGACCAGTCCTTCAGACATCAGCCTGTGCCAGTGATCATTTTCATGAGCTCAGAATGCTGGCCATTGTCTGTGCACATGCTGTGTTTAAGCATCACCTGTTCACTGGTGAGAAAGATAATGGCTATCGTGGCAGGATCTCTTGTCTCTCTCCAGACAAAGCCTGACTCTGTCCCCTTGGGGATTCTGGTGTGGACCAAAAATTGAGAATTTGGAGACCAGTGAAAAAACAGCAAGCGTGTGAGGCAGAGTTATGTATTTGTACCTGCCTAACTCTGCACACTACAAAAAAAACCCCAGAAACAAACACAAATGACTCAGCAGTAGAGCCCCATCAGAAATTACAGAAAATAAGACAAACCACGAACAAGAAAACAACATGTCTGTGGAATGAGCAGGCTTTTGTGCTTCCCCACAAACACACAGTCCAGAACAAATCCTGAAAGGTAACAATCTCACAGTAGTAATGCCTACAAGAGATCCTATGATAAACATAGGGTCTAATCAAAAGCATTAAGGTTTTTAAATGCAAATGTAGACTAGAACTGTCAAAATGTTTTATCCCTAAAATGTGAATGTTAACCTTCCCATGCTTATTATATAGTGGTACATTTTAAATTGCCTGGAGCAGAGTTGAATAAAGCAAACACAATCAAATGGATATTTGAAAGAACTGCTCTTCACAATAGCTGTGTGTCTTTCAAATGTTGATCAATTGATTACCAAAATCAAAGAATACATTTCCCAAATGAGCTTCTGCAAAGCACTCAATAGCACAAAATAGCATAAAGTTCCACAGTCTTCTTTTAGTCTTCTCTAAAATATTTACAAATACAGCTTTCTACTGCTTTCCTGGTTTATAGCTTAGGTCTCCACAGATGTAGAATGAAGAATAAAACACTTCTGATAAATCAATGGTTTGTTTCAGTTTCAGCATGACAAATTCAGACAAAGACAGAAAACAGTTTGAAATTATCCAGAGGTTTACCTTATCTCATGGTAAATCACAGTCCCTCTGGTACAACTGCTCAAATGACTTAAATTTTCAATAAACAAAATTATGGCAAAATATATAAAATACTCTCTCATTGCAAACCACGTGTGGTTTCATATGGCACAGCTCTTGACTTTTGCTTTCCTTAGAAAAAGGACAGATCTATTTGCACTTGTCTGTCCCTTTGGAATTTCCTTTCCTCACAACATTGACTGTAAGAGTAGCAGTGCATGGTCCTTAGAAGGGTATGTACAGGTGAAATGCTCAGCCTGCTTTTGAGCTTGTCTCAGGCAGTTACTCTTTGCTCAGCAGAGGCCTCTGCTGAGGTGACCACAGAGGGCACTCAGGGGTATTTTCCAGCTTCTCCCCATGCTGGGACAGATCTTATTGAGAATGACTAAATATGAGCCATAACTACTAGTGTTCTGTCCATCTGCCACCTTCAGTGAGTTGGTCTCTGCTGCTGCCATGATGCTGTACTTGCATTGCTTTCCTTTCCTCTGCCAGTCATCTCTGGAGAACAAGTGCACACCAAATACGAACAGTTTTCATCTACTAACTTTAACCTGAAAAAACAGGAAGAAAAAAGGAAAACTAACTTTCAACCTGAAATAAACCCATTAATTACTTGAGCTTTCTTACATTTTATCTTGCTTCTAAAGGCAGGTTTTCCTGTACCACCTCTTGCAGTAGCCCCATCTACTGTGCTGTCCTTATTATGATAAATCCTGAGCTGGGTTGCAGATTCTCAATATGCCCCTTCTACAGAGCAAAATTCAGAGTTGTTCATGAGTAACTAGGCTCTCAGCACCCTTGTCTTTACTCCTCCACCTCTGTAAAAGGCATTTGTCCTGAAGAACATAACGGGACTTTGACCCTGTCATGACAGGACTGCTGTCCCAGTCTGGAAATTTGTAAGGGAAAAAATACGAAAGATCAAACCAATTCATTTTACTTAAATGAAAGTTTTGTTCAGCAACAACTTAAAATATCAGTTTAAAAGCCTTACCTCCAGAGTTTCTGACATCTGATCTTGAGGTTCTGACTCTACTAGGATGCAGCTTATTCTTTCCTATGAGCTCCTTCTTCATGAAGCAGAAAACCCCCAACCATCCACATCACATTACACTCCCAGTAATTCTTGGAGTAACAGAGATTACAGTGACCTGCAGGATTTTTCACTTTTCTACACAAGTACCTTTCTGGAGCAAGCCCCTGTGCTGAAATCCTCTTGGGTAAAGAGAGTGCACTCCAGGACTTATTGTATCCTAAGCAAATGAACAAATATTTAGCCTTACGACACTTACGTGATTGACTCTCTACCTGTACCTTTCTTTCAACTCCCATCTGGAAAAGAAGAGTGGATGAAGGAATCTGTAAGGAAAAAAAAAAAAAAGTGGAGAAAAAGGCTTAAAGTGATGCCTGTCCAGTGTTGACAGAGAAGCCAGAAACATGGGAGATCCACAATTTACAGGCTAGAGGTATTTCTCTCTCCTTACATTTTTGCAGATCATTTCAATTGAGTTGCATTTCACTCTAACAACACCTATTGCTCTGTGCAGTAGTGTAAGGAGGACTTTCAGCGGTCACATAGACAACACAGGAAACTTCCCACCATTCTCTATGGCCTCAGGGTGCCAAGAGAGATGTCCTAGTTTCTATCTCTAACTGGTATTTGTCATTTTCTTGGACTCAGCAGGAAAACTCTTTCAGCAGCAGCTGGGTGGGAGAACAACATTTTATTCTACTCTGTCCTTGTTTTGTTTGTCAGTTAATGAAAGATTTTGGGTGGTAAAGAACAGAATTTTTTTTTTCAATGTGTTTTTCCCATACTGTACATGGACCTTTGGATCCTCCACCTCTATATATCATCCTTCAGCATCTCAGTCAACTCTTAAGCTCAGGAGGAAACAGCAGCAATTCCACCTCTGGATCTTGTTTTTATGTTGGTCTGGTAATCACATGAATGTCCTTAGTCTTAAACAGGTGATTCAATAGTGTCATTAATCCCATTTTAAATCTAAAGAAGGTACACAGTAATTGCTTGGACAGGAGGCTGGGCACCAAACCTGTATTTCCTGTTAAAGTTTTCAATGTTCATTCATCTTCTGATACTTCAGCTTTTTCTTTCTGCTCTAAAGCATTTGCAGAACAAGTACAGAAGGTATCAGCCAAAAACAAGCCAATGAAAGCAATTAAATGAAAGTATATAAATAGATAATGGCTTTTTTTCCTTCCATATCACTGTCTTCTCACACAATATGGCAAGATGAGGTTCCTCCTGTGCCAGCAGAAAGCTGTAACTCTGCAGAGTTACTGAAGTGCAAATATTGATCAGACAAGATGGAACATGTTACTGAGGCAATTGGTCAGGCTAAAGCAGTGATGGTAGCACATGGGATATTATGGATGGCTGAAGTAGCTGAGGATATCTATCTTTCTGTCTATCTACCTGTTTTCCGAGATGTCTATCATCATTGAACTTCGCTCCCAAGGACCAAGGGCAGCACTTAATCATCAATAGATAAATACTGTTTAAGCCATTAATTGGGGACTGGGTCAGATTTTCCTTCCTCGTACCATCGCTGCCTTTTTTTTTTTTTTCCCCCCTCCACACTTGTGAGACAGCAGCATTTTCTCACAGCCCGTGTGTGTTGCTCTGGGACTTGTGTCAGTAGCAACAGCACAGCTCAGTGTGTCTGCCAGGGCTTATTCAACTGAGCTCCTTTCCAGAAAAACAAAATAGCCAATTGATGAGAGTTACAAAATTTCAAACCCAATGCCTTTTCAGAGTATCTGCTACACTATTTGGAAGCAGCAGAAGTGTGACCAGTTTCTGCACCTTCTCCTTCACCTGTAGTGCCAGAAGTGGATGAATAGCAGTGGGAGTTTCCCAAGTAATACCTGCTGTAAACTCACAGCTTCTGTGGCTGCATTTTCTCTATAGTTAGTATTCATCAAAGAGACTGCAATAGTGCAGAGCTGTGTGTTTGCTGGCATTTTTCTTGTTCAAGGCTTTTGAGAACACTTTACTGAAGCATATAATGCTTCCTTGAAATTGGCCTCTAAACCACATTTTGAGAAGATGAAACACAGGCACTTGGCTGGGTGTTTTTGCCCTGTGCCATGGGTTGCTCAAGGCAAAAAAGCACCCCTTTCTTCCTTCCAAATCTCCTCTCAGCTCAAATCTCATCAGTCTGGCTCTGATCACGAGGTTTCTTTCTAATATAACAGTTTCTCTCTTGTTCTATTTTTTTTTCTTAATTTTTACATTACTAGTTATGAGCTCTGGTACATAGATTTCCCCCTTTCACTCTAAGATTTAGGCTCTTACATGATTTTAAACTCTTAGAGAATTCATTTGTCATTACAGTCTTACATTAAAGACACACTTGCCGGGTTAACTTTGGGAGTAATCATTGTGCCCTCTTGTTTTCATCTGAAGTATTCCAAAAGGAGAGTTAGTCTAAATTAGGCAACGGAGTTTTTGCCTTGACATTTGGGAGGTCAAATTTTGCCTGTGACTGTCAACCTCTCAGAAGAGGAGATGGCATTTGGAGTAATCCAAAACTCCTGCAGAGTTACATTACTGTGGCAGCCAGACTGGAGTAAATCTAGGCTGAAGATCTATTGGTTCAATTACTGCTTGGGGTCAGGACATGCCATAAATTATTAGATATGCAAATGGAAAACCAGGACTGTTGATGAAAGAAAGATGGATGGATTTCTTAAATACTCATAATCAGTGCAAAGACCAACTATATAAACTGATATATAGTTATTTGCTTGTTCTTAAATTTTAAATTCTGTTCTTAAATTTTACCTGAGTGCAGGTAAAACCAAATTATTTTCTTTTATGTGCATGTCATATTTTAAAAATAAACTTCAGAAATCATTTGCTTCTGCAATGCCCCTTAATTTTTAGAAACAGTTTCACAAAGAAGTTCAGAAGATGCTAATTCTCATTTTGTTTTCACTTACCAAAGGGCAAATCTCTAACAGTGCTCTCTACATTCTGCGAAGACTCACTGACAATGCATTTGGAAGGAGAACCATTTCCTCTGCCTGTGGAGGTAGGGTGTGAAAAGAATGCCACCAAACTAGCTCAGGTTTGTGTATCTGCTGCAGAGGGAGTGAACTGGCACACAATAACATCACTTTATCACTACATGAAACACTCTGTGGTGTGTCAAGAGGGTTTTTTTTGATAGGAAAATAAAACTCATTTAAAATATTATTCTATCACACTTATTTTTGCTGTTTAATACATTATTTATAGTCTTATTTCTCACTGTGATTAAAGTTGGAAGAACCTGACCCCTCCTTTAGCAATGTAGAAAGTCTGCTACATTTATAAAAACCTGTTGAGTTTCTCTTGTGGATTATCTCTTTTGGGAAAGTTTTTACTACATGTGAGACAAAATGATTATGAGTGTGAGAATAATGTGAGCTGTTCAACGCCACCTGCTGCTGCAAGGGGAAATGTATTCCCAGAGACACCTTGGCTGAGCAAGAACAGATGCAGAACCACTGGAAAACTTGTTCTGCTTGATAGTAAGTTTCCAGGAATAGATCATAACACGTGAGGGAATACACTATCCCAAAACTGATGCTGACTTTTTCCAAGCAGTTTGTGAAAGCCATGAGAGCTTCTAAAGGATATACAGCATCCCTCCACAGTTGGTTACATCTAAATAATTTTCATTTCTATCACTCTGGATAGAAAGTTTTACAAAATTACTACAGGCTTTCTCGAAGCTCCTATTCACTGCCAAAATATAAATCTCTTGGCCACTGCCCTTGCTGTCATTATTGTTATTTTACTAAGAGTTTACATGGTAGGTGATAATAACTAGACAGTAAATTGACAGTTTCTTAAGTATTCTCCAAGTAGAGATCAGAAATTAGTCCATATCATGTAGTTTACATCACAGAAAAAAATTTAGGAAATACAATTTAGCTAGTTATAATATATACTAGTTTGAGACAAACACATTCTTTGTATATGTAGGTAGAGAACCACCAGCAGGAATGAAAGGTAAGAACCTGCAGGTGAGACATTGCAGCTCACCACGGGTACCTTTGGAAGTGGAGGAAGCCAGTGATGCCCTGTGGGTAAGAGCTGTGTGTGGTGGTTGAGCCGTGAGCATCTGATTCCAGCGTGACACCAACATAACTGGGACACAACTCCTCAAAGCCAACGGAACTGTACAGGGAGAATCACACAAATGAGAGCAAGCATTCAGATTTCAGATATTTTCCTATGCAATTCTGACAATCCTTTTAAGTTTTTGAGAAGGCTACAAGAAACAATATGCGTAATTCCAGTGCAGAAACACTAATAATAATGTTTTAAAGTATTTTAAAGATGTTTTATTTAAAATGTTATCTGTTAGAACTGTTTTTTTGTTATATTCATTTTGATCCTGTTAGTCCTGCCCTGAATCAATCATGAAAGTATTAAAAGTTAATATTCAATCAACTCTCCAATAACCAGACAAGTTACTCCAAAATGGACAAAGTTTGAGAAAACCATCTGAAGTAAAGCAGAAAACTACAAGCAATAATGAATATAATACCTTAGTTTATGTTAAAAAAAAAAAATCTATATGTGCAAAATGTAATTAGTAAAAAAGTAACAAAGGAAAAATCCCCCTTGAAGTGAAGGACTGAATAAATTCCATTTTTGCGTGACTTCTAAATAAAAACAAAGTTCAAATTCTGCTTAATGCTATTCAAATCTTCAGTGCTTTAATGAGCACGGTCACTTGGTACTGACTTTTAGTCTGTATCTGTAGATTGACAGGGAAGAACAACTCTAGTTTTACAGAAATATTGCTTTAAACTTACAAGAAAAAAAGATGTTGTAGAAGTTTAGCAGCACATTTGTATTCTTTAGTGTGCTTTATTTCTATGCCCCAATTTCCCTCTTGTGACACTCATTAAATAAATATGAATTAGGTTTACTATATATAACCGCTATTTTGCAACAAAGATATATTTTTCAGTAGCTATAATGATAGGTGGAAAAAAGTTCTCCACTAAACATTCTGCATAAAAATGGGGTTTATCGTGATAAATATTTTTAGATTTTATCATGATTTTATTTCCATGAAATGGCACAACGGACCCATTCAAACAAATTTGGTCTCATTCACGCACAGAGATTGTTTTTAGGCTGTACTCAGTAAAGGGAATTCTTTACAACTAACTCAAAGTATCTTTTACCATCTGCCCCTTCCCCTCATTTTGCTTATAGCCAATGACAAACTAATTATAATATATTGGATGCACTATCTTTTCTTTTGTTGCTTGTTTTGTTACTGCCTTACCAGGAAGTTTGCAGTTAAAACAATTTTTATGGCTTTAAAGAACAGAAGTGAATTCATATTTCTAGAACTTAAGCCAGAAGTAACTATATTTTCAGCAGCTGAATTTTCATTAAAATTTACAAAAGACCTCTGCCTTCACTGATTTATTGTTGCATTAGGTAAAACTACACAGAGCGTATAAAATACTGTGTTACTCCACTTGTAGTCTGATCTAACATGTTATCAGTGATTGCAAGTACATTTTATAACCCCAGCTGCTGAATCGAAAAAAAGGGTGATACAAGCATCAATCTCCAGGATAAAATCAGAGCACTTTCTACCACAGTTTGACCTTAGTGATGCCTTTGGATAGTCTTACTTGTCTAAGTCCTTGCAACAATTACCAAGGGACAGTTAGAAAATGCAGCTTTAATGGTGCAGAGTGGAATTAATAACAGCATCAAAGACTTTAACCCTGGAGATTTCTGAAGACAGGAAAAATTTGAGGAAGCTCTGATGCCATTGCAGGAATGAAATGGAACAGGGCTGCAGACACCAGGCACAGATTTTATTTGTGCTCTTGACTGTCTGCATCCCTGAACTCCACAGTGTCATTAGCAAATACCAAAAGCTATCAATAAAAAACTTAGACCTCCAGCTGTAGCCACCAAACCTCATTTATAGCATGAGAAGACACAGTTAATTACAGGTCACAAAAATGTTAATTTCTGTCATAATGCAAGTTATAGTCTAAAAAATGAAAAAACCTTATTTTTGGACTGAAATGGTTTCTCCTAAGAGGACTCTGTTAATTTGAAATCCCATCTCTGTCTGTAGGCATGGTTCTAAATATAATAATATCAAAATTAAAATAATAAATCTGATCACTTTTTTGCAAGACGAAGTATTGAAGGTATATAAGAAATAGCAAAGATGATCATAAAAGACTATTTTGGGCAATGGCAGTTGTAGCTGCTTATTATTAACATTAAATACATTTTTAAATAATACAACAGATTTTGGAAATGTGAAATCCTCGTGACCCGGAAAGTAACTAAAAAAATCCACCTTATGAACGAGCCTAACTACCTCCTCCAAGGAAAGAATCACCAGTAATTTCAATGATTTTAAAGTACATTGGATAAATATTAAGACAAACATCACGTGAAGGATGGAGTTAATTATAGCACATATAATCAGACACCGGTCACTCCACAAGTTGTAATTTATTTTCCCCTTATTTGCATTTAAACTTCAAAGGTATTTCAGGAAATGTAAAATAACATGATTTGAGCAGTTACAAAGATGATACGCATTTAACTTCAAAACTATGTTTGAAGCTCTTAAAAATAAATTACACACAATTTCAGGAAATAACACACCATTCTCATGCAACCTGTAATTGTTGCCTCAAAAACAGTAAACTCATTTTTGGAGAGGAAATATCACAATTTAGGGCAACAGTATTCATCTGCTGGGTCTTATAGAGATACAAGAAAACAGGGGTAATTTGCATCGATATGCTAATCTAAGTTTATATGTAGAGTTTACTTGGTTAAAAAGGTCATATGACTACAACTTCATATGGAAAATTAGCTGAGTGGTTTGAATAAATATCCAACTCCTACTGTAGAGCAGACAGTCTCTTCAGTAAAATGGGAAGGGCTGCAGACTTCTACAGCTTGTGTTTGTCATCCTAACATTCTTTTTTTTTTTTTTTTAATTATTTTTTTTTCTTTTAAGGGGGAAACTTCTTGTGAGTTTGAGTCCTTAGGATTGGTTTACAATCCCTGTGCCTATGAACATATCTAAAATTCCAGCATCTAGGTCAGTACTGAGCTTTCTAAATACTTAACAAACATCTTTTTGTATCCCTTCATGTCAGATTTAATTGTCCATGGTGAAAGGAAACACTAATCAGAATTCAAGAGAAGTACTCTAAGACGTGTATCTTTCCAACCTGAACTATCCTATGATCCTGGGAAAGTATATAAGGGAAAAAGCAAGTTTTCATCTTATTTAAAACATTAAACCAAACTAAATACTTAAACATTCTCATTATCAACTACTCTACAGCTTTTATAAAACAGCTACATAACAGTGAGGTGCAATGAGGCACTCTGAGGATAAAGTTCACAAATACCTCATTCCTTTCAGAATCTGGCTCTGGAGGATGGTATTCGAGATAGTATTAAATAATACACTGCTTTTACAAAATTATTTTACAGCCTATCAAAAAGATGTGTTTTCTATTCTCTGCCCCATGGTTTCCCCACATATTCCTGAGATCTGCTCATTCCATGTAGTTGGCCCCCACAGTTGGTGGGGGGAGCACCTGTGGGGGCTGAGAGAAATACAGATTTGCTGTGCATTGATTACACTGCTGCTTCTAAGCAGCACCACAACTTGTGTAACTCCAGCTGTAGTAGTTTACTACACTGATACCAATCTCAGGTAGGTAGATACCTTAGGGGAAAGGAACAAAGATCCAGACAAACAGCTGAGAGGCGCCTGCAGTCACCAAGCCCTTCTGTGGACAAACCACAACAGTCACAGCCCTTAGTTCTTCCTGAGCTGGTGCCTTCCTTGGCACTGCTTCCTCCTGGGAACCATTTGTGGTTACATGCAAGCTACAATTAAGTCCAAACTGACCATAAGCACTTCTTCATGTCACCACTGCACACAAGGAGGAAAGCCTGAGCCCACTGCAGGCAACAGAAGTTTTCCAGTTGTTTTCAAAGACGCTCATCTGATGTCCCCAGAGGGAACAATTCTGTGCATGCTTCTCAGGTCCACATTTGATCTGCAAAACAGATCCCTTGCAACTGAGATCTCTCTCCATTTGTTTTTGTGTGGTCCTATCTAATTAATGATGCAATTTCAACTGGATATTATTCGCTAGAAAATCCTTATCTGCCATATGAAAAATATTAAGAGAAATTCTTATTTTCACAGATGATGTATGTTTTCATCTAGAACTAGAGATCTTTAAGAACATTTCTGCATCTTGGCACAAACTACAGTAGAATCTTTGAATAACAAGCTTTATAAAAGTGTAAATGGCCTCCAGAAAAATTACAGGGACAGTAGATTTTGTTTAGAGCAGTCTTGCAAGCGTGAGGCTTACAGCACTGCATTTGCAGCAGTGTTGGTTGTGCAGCCATGCTGGTTTGCACAGCTGGTTGGAGACAAACAGGAAGGCAAGGTCCTCGCCTGGCAGAGCTGACAACTTCAATCAGGCTGACAGTCTAACAACAAGTGACAACGGTGGCGTTCAGCGGGTGGGAAGGGCAACAGCAAACAAAGATCAGGGGAAAAGTGATCTGGAGAGAGCACTGTTTTGAAGGGATCCAGATAAGCACACTGTTGCAATACCTTAAGCTTGGTTTGTTTGTTTTTTAATTTTAGGAATGCCAAACTTAGGGGTGACTGCCCAGACATCAGCAGGATAATGCAAAATAGCAGGAATTTTGATTTGGAAAGCAAAATGACAGAGCAGAAGGAGGACATGAAGAGCATCTGGCAGGAAATGCATGGGGAGGAAGGACCTAGAACAGCAGCATTTTCTCCCAGGTTTGGGTACATCTGTAAAATATCAAAACACTCTAAATAAAGTGCTGTTGGGAGTGACAGGGATAGTCAGAAACGGCAGCAGTACAAGTGCATACCTATCTTAATGAAGTCTCACACCATTTTTGCAATAGCCCTTTAGAGAAATAATAGCACACCATTCTTAGGGAGCCAGTTTGGCATGGCTTCTGCTTATGTAGGAAACCATTCCTATGATTTCTCACAGGTCTAGGAGTGAAAATATCTGCTGCAGTAAATTCACAAGTTTAGCATTCATTGCTACTGTGACCAAAGGTTAATGTTTTGCTGCTTGACTGAATCAAAA